CAAGCGGGGTGGGGGTGGGGAGGCGTCTGTTTGGCGGCAGTGGAGTCAGGGAGGCCTCTGACCAGCCGCACTGGAGCACAGGAGACACCTGGGGGCGGGGGACCTGCCCAGGGGGCTGAGGCCGGCAGCGATGTGAGGGACAGGAAGGTGGAGCCAGGTCGGCAGGCCCGGGTGCTGGCGTTGGGTGGGAGCGTGGGTTTCCATGTGTGACCGAGCCCTGGCACCAGCAGGGGGAGGTGGCCTGGCGGGCACTTGCGGGGACCGGGCTCCTGCGCAGGGAGGAGGCTCCTCCTCAGGGTGTGCACGGCGCCCCAGCAGTGCAGTGAGGCCGGTGCAGGGGCGCCCAGCCCGCTGAGGAGCATGGAGGGGTGGGCGTGATCTGCCCTCTTCTGGCCGGGGCGTTGGGACGGTCCCATCTTGCCGACGGGGACACTGAAGCCGGGGCTGTTAAGTGGCCTGCCCAGGATCACGCAGCAGGAGTAGGAAGGGGCAGGCTTTGCGTCCCGCAGCCCACGTGGCTCCTGGGAGGGCGGGCAGCGTGGTCCAGAAGGAACCAGAGGGGATTTGCAGGGCTCTGCAGTGGCAGGGAGGCCTCGGCCCGGCCCCTGGCCTTGGTGGTCGTCAGCTCCCTGCAGACAGACGCTCCCTTCCCAGGGCAGACCCTGCAGGGCCCTGCCCGCTGCCTCCCAGCCTCCCAGCATCCTCTGCTCCAGGCAGGGCAAGGGCAGGTTTCCTGGGCCTGGAGGATGGGAAGGGAGCCGCAGGGGCCCCTGGGTCCGGGGAGGACTGAGCCGTGCGCCCGGCTGTTGGGAAGGAGCTGGTGCTTCTTCCTCAGATCTGAGCTCTGTTAATAATTAATCATCTTTTCAAAGAATAATTGCAGGGCGTCTGCCCCCGGGCCTCCCTGGCCTTTCTTCCTTTGGCCCCCGGGCCACAGACCCACCCCTGCCTCTCCCCTCTGCCTCAGCAGAGGCGGCTGGCTTGGGAAGCCCCCAACCCTCACATCACACCCTGGACCCAGGGGGCCTCTCAGCAGATGCTGGTATCAGCTGGCAGGCGCGACCCCCTGAGACCACCGGAGGCCCAGGATCAGGCACGCCGTCTTGTGTTCACTGGTGGTCTCAGGAGCAGCCTGCAGGGCAGGGCGGGCAAGCAGTCTGGAAACCTCTCTTCCCGGTGGGGCTGGGGCCCCTGAGCAGGCTGGGGTTAAAGGCAGCCCTGCAGGGGAGGCAAGGGCTAAGCAGAAGTGGGGAAGAGGGAGACACCATCCCGGGGAGTGGGGCGTCGTGGCCGGGACCCCGGATGTGGCACCGCCTTGGGTCCCCCTCGTTGGCGGCTCCAGGGGACAAATGCTTTGCTAAGGATGCTCTCCTGAGCTTGGAGTCAGGCCGGGTCGTAGATATTTGGGGGCTGACCTCTGGGACCCCCAATTTGTTGTTAAATTATTTATCGTCCCAAAGGCAGAGTGATGGGGGCGGAGAGGGGGAGGAGAGGAGGGAGAGAAGTCACCCATTCGCTGGTTCACGCCTCACGTGCCGCGATAGCCAGGCCTGGGCCAGGCTGAAGCCGAAGCCGGAAACTCCATCCCCATCTCCCGTGAGAGAGGCACAGACCCGACACGTGGACATCACCCAGTGCCTCCTAGGACGCATTAGCAGGAAGCTGGATTGGAAGCGGAGCAGCTGGGACTTGAGTAGCGGCCGTGGGCACCCCAGGCGGTGGCTTAGCCTGCTTTGGCACAACGTTCACCCCCCCGCCCCCAGTTTCTCACATGCCACCAACCAGCCAGTGGAGCCTCCGCTCCCACTCACTGAGAGCCCCTAACTCATGGCCCCCTCTGGTCTGGCCAGCACTGGACCACTTTCAGGGTTCAAGTTGCTTGGTCCTGCCCCTCCCCAGCACACCCCACCCCTGCTCTGTTGCAGGCACAGGGGCCCCACAGCACAGGGGGACTGTAACCCAGGCTTTGCTGTGTGTACCCCACCCAGGGTCCTCGGGGAATGCCTGTCAGCTTCGCTGGGAGTCCGGACCCAGGCTGGGGACCCTCTGCCCAGAGAGGAGGTGGGCACGTAGTTTCCTGACCTTGGCCCTGATGGCCCCTCGCCTGCAGTGCCGCAGGTGCCTCCATCCGCCCTGGCACCCGCCTCCAAGGAAGGCCTCTGGGAGGGCGGGGCTGCCTGCCCCTGCTGCTGGGTTACCTGTTCTATAAAGAACCAGTCTAGCCAGCACCGCGGCTCACTAGGCTAATCCTCCGCCTTGCAGCGCCAGCACACCAGGTTCTAGTTCCGGTCGGAGCGCCGGATTCTGTCCCGGTTGCCCCTCTTCCAGGCCAGCTCTCTGCTGTGTCCAGGGAGTGCAGTGGAGGATGGCCCAAGTACTTGGGCCCTGCACCCGCATGGGAAACCAGGAGAAGCACCTGGCTCCTGCCTTATCAGTGTGGTGTGCCTGCCGCAGGGCGCTGGCTGCGGCAGCCATTGGAGAGTGAACCAACGGCAAAGGAAAACCTTTCTCCCTGTCTCTCTCTCTCACTGTCCACTCTGCCTGTCAAAAAAAAAAAAAAAAAACAGTCTGAGGCCAGACAGGTGGGAGGAGTTGGAGCCCAGGTTAAGGGCAAGGTTGCGCAGATACCCAGCTGACACCCGTGAGTTAGGAGACGCCTGTAGGGAGGGAACAGGGCCATAAAGCCCTAAAGAGCAAGCAGAGTGTAATATACCCCGCAGCAGCCGGGAGTGGAGGGAGTGGAGGCTGCTTCCGCCGGGGGGCCCGGGGGCCCAGGGGCAGGTAGGAGGGCCGGGCGAGGGGATGGTGGGCAGAGAGGGCCTGGAGGGGCACGTGAAGGGGCCGGGGGCAGTGTTGGGCTGGACACGAAGGGCCTGGGCTTGTCAGTTAGCCACTATGAACCTCCGTTTGCTCACCTGTGAAATGGCCGTGGGGGATGGCGTCCGGATCCCGAGCTAACGCGTCCCGCACGAGCCCGGCAGAGCTCTGGGGCCCGGCTCCGAGCTGCCGTCCACTCGTTCCCCGCTTTGGTTTCAGGCTGGTGGCGGGAGCCGCGGGCTGGAGGCCAGGGCCAGGTGGGCGGCAGCCTGGGTAGATGGTGCAGTGGGCGTGGGACCCTTGGGGCTGCAGCACACATGGGAGGGGCTGTAGGGGGCGGGCCCGGGAGTCTCCTGGCTGTTGAGGGCAGCAGCCCCTCGTCCAGCTGCTGGTTCCCCGCCCCAGACCCATGCCCAGTGATCTCCTGTTGGACAGGGTGGGGCGGGGTGGGGGGGTAGAAGCAGAGTGGGAAGGGCTACTGTGGGGTACCCCCCGGGCTTTTCAGGGAGCTATGGGCTTTGTGAAATGCAGTTGTAAAATTCACATGGCCCAGCCTGGCAGGGCCACCCTGAGGGCCCCTGGGCAGCCGCTGGGAGGGGTGTGACCTGGGCTCTTGATGGCAGTGAGGTGAGTGGGGTCCTTGTCTTGGGTGGGAATGGAGGAGCAGCCTGGACCTTGGCCCCCAGGCCTGAGCGAGGAGCCCGGGATGGGGGTACCCAGGATTCTGCTGGCACGGCCCTGAAGTGACCCCACCACACCCTCTACAGCCTCTGCCCCTCATCAGACTGCACCCCAACCACTACCCCACGCAGCCTCTGAAGTCTTTGCCTGGGCAGCTCTGGGAGGCGCCTGACCCCCGTGGGCCCCAGCAGGGAGGCCTCCCTGCACAGCAAGGGCTTGCTCCAGGCTGCACCCAGACGAAGAGGCCGCCCTGCACTGTCCACCCCCAGCCCGTGGTCGGGGACCCCGGGCTCCCCGTCCCCGCCAGGCTCCCAGTGCTCACTCGGAACCCCTGCCACTGGCCTGGCCAGCTCCACTTCCTTCCCTGGGCTGCCGAGAGGACTGGGGCAAGAACCGCCTCCCAGTGCTCAGCTGGCCATCCCTCTGCCGGGAGTGCTGCTGCCCCGGGCTGAGTCTGTGCCTCTCCCTTCCTGGCTGTGTGTGCAGGAGGCAGTCCCAGCCCCAGGGCACATCCTCTTCTGCCTGGCTTGGGCTGGGGCTGAAGATCGAAGCCCGGCGCAGTGCCCAGGGCCCGGAAGTCAGAGGCCTGGGTCTGCCTGCCCTGTAGCCTTGGCCGAGTCTGCCTTCTCTGGGCCTCAGTCCCTTGCATAGAGTGAGTGCTGCATTCAGAGTGGTGCTCGTCACACTTCTTTTTACCCCAGGAGGGACTCCAGAAATTCATGCCAGCAAAGATGGAGTTAAAAGATCAGTTTAGGGGCTGGTGTGGTGCAGCGGGTTAAGCCGGCATCCCAGTGTAAGCACCGGTTCCAGTCTCGGCTGCTCCACTTGCAGTCCTGCTTCCTACTAATGCACCTGGGAAGGCAGCAGAAGACGGCCCAAGTGCTTGGGCCCCTGCACCCACGTGGGAGACCTGGGTGAGGCTCCTGGCTCCTGGCTTCAGCCTGGTCCAGCCCTGGCCATTGTGGACATTTGTGGAGTGAACCAGGGGATGGAAGGGCTCGCGCGCTCTCTCTCTCTCTCTCTGGCTCTTTGCCTTTTAAATCAGTAAATGTCTTAAAGAAAAAGATAAGTTTCTTTTGCTGGCTGGAGACATTTTGAAATCTGTGCGTGTAGCTCTCCCCAGGTCTGTGTTCCCACGGGCTGTGGGGAGCCCCCATGTCAGTTCCCTCCTGCACATTCGTTGTGTGGTACTGACAAACCCACAGCTGCTCGCTGGCCCTGTGGCTGATCGAGCAGCGGAACATCTCAGAGCCTGTACTTCCTCGTGTGCAACATTGAGACACACGCCCGCCCGCCCGCCTGCGTGGCCGACCACGTGTCAGCCCTACTTCCTCCCCAGTGCTCAGGTGTGCACGGGGCCCTGCAGGAGCACTGTGTGTTGGCTTGGCCCTCGCCGAGGGAAACCAGTCAGAGGAACAAACCCCAGTGCCGTTGCTCGAATGTGCCGGAACCCCTCTTCTGCCTGCCGCTCCGTGTGGCCCGTGAAACCTCAGGTCAGAAGGACCCCGATTTAGTCCCCTGAGACGCCGAGCTGCTGTGCTCTGCCGAAGAAGGAACCAGAGCCAGCCGCGGGCTGTCGGCTGAGGCCCTGCTGTGGGCCGAGATGCGTGTAGCGACTGAGTCTCTCGGCAGCCCCTACGAAAGAGACCGCTGGACCTCCAGTTTGCAGAGGGGGAAACTGAGGCATCAGGAAGTGGGGTAGCTCTCCAAGGTCATGGGCAGCGTCTGCTGTGACCTTGTAACTGCTGGCCTGGCTTGTGGACACCGCAGGGCTTGCTGGAAGGGGCACACCTCCTGCCTTCCCCGCGGGTGGCCCAGGGCCGGTGTGGGTCGGGCTGGAAGGTGAGCCTGGGGGGGTGGACCTCAGCTCCCGTCAAGATGTCCGTGCTAGCAGATGGCCCTGGAGGGGTGGTGAGGGTCCCTCCCCAGCGGTGCCCCCGGGCCGGGGGTTATGGGTGGGTGGGTCCCTGTTCCGCAGTGGAGACCGAGGGTTACCTGAGCGGCCTCCACAATCCTCACTGTGGAATTTCAGCACCTGCCAGGTGTCGGGCCTGTCCACGGCTGGGTGCAGGTGTTTCCAGGCCCCTCCCCCTCATTGGAGGGGTTAGGGCCATGGCTATCGCAGAGCTGAGAATACCAGTGACAGGTGTCGGGAGGCAGGCAGGGAAGAAGGCCAGCAGGTGGCAGGCAGGGGACGTGGCCAGCAGGGCCCGAGTCCTCTGGACCACAGAGTAGGCTGCCAGGGGCCGGGGTGAGGCCAGCCCAGGGCACCCCCGGGCCTAGTTAGGACCCTGGTCAGCGCGGGCGAGCTCAGGACCACGGAGAGCTCCGTGGTGCCTCCTGTCACCCTGGTGACAGCTGTCAGTGTGTCTGGGCCAGGAGCTGCCTCACGCTCCGCCAGCCCCACACTCAGCCTGGGGCTTGCAGAGGGGGCCTGGCAGGGGCCAGCAGGGCCCTTAGTCTGAGGTCATGGCTGGGTCATTGTGATGGCTGGTTTTAGGTGTCACCTTGACCAGGTTAAGGAAGCCTCGGCAAAGCGGGGGAGCAGGTTCTCTCCGCTGCGCCTGGGGCAGGGCCACTCTTGTCTTGGATGCTGAGACTCCAGATTGAGACCAGCAGCCCCGGGCTGTCAGACCTTTGCCCTGAATCTGGGAGGGACACTTCCTGCTTCCGAGGCTGCGGACAGTGAGCCACGCTGCTGGTGTCCCGGGTCTCCACCTCGCAGGCGGCTCTGTTCCTGGGACGCCCCAGCCTCCGTGATCATGTGAGACAATTCTGCTAAAACCCCTCTCTCTCGTCTGCCTGTCTAGCCGCCTTGCTGTCCGTCTGTCCCCGGGGAGGACCCTAATCCACACCTGGGCTTCCCTCTCACCTCCTCCGCCTCTGTCCCCAGGGACAAGGGCGCAGAGAGGAGGCGAAGTGGCGAACCAGCGCCAGCCTCCGGGCCTTGGCCACTGCCATGCGAGGTCAGCCTCGGCCTCCCCCACCCCTTCACCCACCCAGACAGGAGACCCGGGCCCCTAGGGCATCTGGCTGCTAGGGTGGGGCTGGGGCTGTCTAACCTTCGAAAGCATCAAGCTTCCATTCTTCTGAAGCCCCAGGAAAAGTGGGGGCTTTGCCCAGCCCAGCCCCCCCCCCCCAGCAGGCTCAGCTTTTGCCTGGACTCTATTTGTGGTCCCCAAATGCTGCTCCGAGACGAGACAGTGCCCCCTGGGGCTGGGCCTGCCAGGACTCACCTCTGAGCCTTTGCCTCCCGCTGTGACCCCCACCCCCCACCCGCAAGGCTCTTCCTCTTCGCCGCCAGCCTGGGGGGGGGGGGCGCAAGCTGGGGCTTACAGAACATGTACTCCGTGCCAGGCACTTCACGTGGATTCTGAAAAAATATGTGTAAAAGGTGTATGTATTTACTTGGAAAATATGTTTAAAAGATTTTATATTTATTTCTGAATGACAGTAAGGGAGAGGCAAGAGAGATCTTCCATCTGCTGGCTCACTCCCCAAATGCCCACAGCAGGTGCCGTTAGACTAGGCCAGGCCAAAGCCAGCAGCCAGGGCCTCCATTCGGGGCTCCCTCCCAAGTACTGGGGCCATCCTCCCTGCCCCCACCCCGTGCACTAGCAGGGAGCTGGGCTGTAACTGTGGAGAAGCCGGGGCTCTCCGATACCGCTGAAGTCGTCCCAAGCAGCGGCTCCATCCGCGCCGCGAGGCCTGGCCCAGGGATTTTTATTGAACTCGCTTTACTGACGAGAAGACAGGTATGGAAGAGTGATCTGCCTCCGGGGCCACCCAGACAGGCTGCTGGGCTCTGGACTGGGCCGTCCGTGCGTGTGCAAGTCCGTGGGGGGTCACTGCGGAGATCCGGCCCACGCAGAGCGGGCTCGGCGGCCCCTGCTGTGGGCGTATCCTCGTCCAGCCAGGAGGACAGGCGGCAAGGCAGAGGGAGCCCAGCAGCCATGCCGAGGGACAGGAGCCAGGGCTCTCCGAGTCTCACGGCGGGGCGAGGGGGACAAGGCCAGGCATTCTACAGAGGGAGGTGTTGAGGCTGGGAAGCCCGGTGACCTGCTGTGGCTCACAGTGGCCCGAGGAACCCAGAAGACGGAGGTCAGCGCTTCCTGGAAGGAGGCTGGGACGAGGCTGGGGACCCTGGCCCGGGGCAGAGACACGGGTGCACAGCATGCACCTGGGAGATCCTTGGTGCCTTGTGGTGACCTGAGGAAGGCACTGCTCGGGTCAGCTCAGTAGCGGGAGGGACCTGGAGGGGATCTGGGTCCTCGGCGGGCTCCCCGCTGGCCTTGGAGGGAGCGCTCAGCCTGGGGGAGGCCCCGGCTCCCTCCCAGCTGCGCCCGCTTCTCTGGGCAGGTGCTGGGCACTGTGCTCTCCTGGAGCCAAGTGCATCCTGGGAAGCAGGGTGGGAGTGTAGCTCAGTGGTCTGGACAGGGCCCCTGCTCCTGCTCCCAGACCCAAAACTCGGCCCACCACCCCCATTCATCGCGTAGACTTCTGGACAGAGTGCCCCTCAGAAGGGCCTGAGGTTTGGGTCCAGAGGAGACCAAGGTCAAGGGTCAGGTGGTGTGGCCAGGCTAGCCCGCGTCCGGCTCCAGCTGTGCCCTTCACCCTCCGCCTCTGTAGGACGAGCAGCAGGGGTCAGCGCAGGGCTCCCGCAGGGTCCTGCCACAGGGGCCCCGGCTCTCTCCCAGCTCCCTGGGGGCTGCAGGGAATGGCCTTCTTGGCCCCCCAGTGCTGGGAGCCCCCACATTGGATTCCCCGCTCACACTCCACACCTACCTTTCAGCACTCTGGGAAGAGCCTGCACCTCACACTCCTGGCCAAAGCCACCCCTTGCCTTTCCCCTGGCTGGCGCCACCGCCGCCTCCCGGCTGTCTCTGCTCTGCCCCTGAGGCCAGCGGTCTGTTCCCTGCAGAGCGGCCAGAGGGAGCTGTTCCAACCCAAATCAGCCCCTGCCCCAGCCTCCACCAGGGGCAGCTGCATCTCTAACCGCGGCCCAGCCCTGTGTGATCGGGCCAGGCGTGCATGCTCCAGGCTCCCCTCCCTCACCTGCCCACCCGCTGGCCGCTCCTCACGCTGTGGCTGGTGCGCTCCCGTGTGAGCCCGGCTGCCGCCCCTCCCTGGGGCATTCTTCCCGGCGGCTTTGTCTGCTTCACCTCTGCTGAGATGTCACTGCGTGAGTCAGGGTTCTCCCGAGAGACAGAGCCAGCAGCATCCAGACACTGTGACCCGGGAGTCGTCGGGGCCGTTGGCCAGCCTGGGATGCCAGTGGCGTGGCTCCGTCAGGGCCAGGAGCCTCAGAACCAGGGCAGCCCGTGGTGTAAGTCCTGGAGTCCTGATGGCTGAGGGCAGGAGCTCCAAGACAGAGACCGGAAGTCGCCTTCCCCTGTCTCCCGCGTGGAGGGCAGCCCTCCCCTCTGGTCCATGGGCGGCAACCCCCTGGCCGGGCTGCTGGCAGCTCCCTCCCAGATGTGGGTTCCTGGTTCTCGGGTGCCCCGACCTGTGTCGGTGACTTCAGGGCGCCCCTCCCCCGGGGGGCTCCTGAGTGCATCAGAGGTGCTGGGGACCCTGCCATCCCCTGGCTTCTCCTCTCTGCTCACGGTGGGCTCTCCATGGGGGTCCCGTCTCCCTGCTTGGGTTGAACTTGGCCGACGGGATAGGACGCCCTCCGGATGGAACCCAGCACCCATCCTACAGGACGGAGTAGGAGCGGAGCTGCTGTGTGTGCCTTGGGTGACGCTGTCGGGTCGCTGGCCTCAGTTTCTTGAACTGGGGCTGACGGGAACTGCTCTGGGGAGGCTGTGACGTGCCCAGGACAGTAGCTGGCACGTGACCGGCTGCGGCGGTCGGTCTTCCTGTTTCCCTTGCTGCCACCTGCTGCGGCCTGGACCAGCCCAGTGGCCTCAGCTCACGGCCCCAGGCCACGCCCTGCCCTCAGCCTTAGGGGGAGGGGCTGCCTGGGGAACCAGAGCTTAGGTCCAAGGCTGACTTGGCCATTTTATTTTTATAGGATTGATTTACTGGGGCCGGCACTGTGGCATATCCCATATGGGCGCCCCTTGTGTCCTGGCTGCTTCTCTAACAATCCAGCTCTCTGCTGTGGCCTGGGAAAGCAGTGGAGGATGGCCCAAGTTCCTGGGCCCCTGCACCCACGTGGGAGACCCAGAAGAAGCTCCTAGCTCCTGGCTTCAGATTGGCCCAGCCGCGGCTGTTGGTGGCCATTTGGGGCGTGAACCGGCTGATGGAAAACCTCTCTCTGTGTCTCCCTCTCTCTTTCTGTAACTCTGCCTTTCAGAGAAATGGGTAAAATCTTTAAAAATTTTTTATTTATTTATTTGAAAGTCAGAGTTATAGAGAGACAGAGACCGAGATCTCCCGTCCACTGGAGATGGCTGCAGTGGCCAGGGCTGACCCAGGCCAAACCCAGGAGCTTCTTCCGGGTCTCCCACGTGGGTGCAGGGGCCCGAGCACTTGGGCCATCTGCTGCTGCTTTCCCAGGCCACAGCAGAGAGCTGGATCAGAGTGGAGCAGCGAGATACAAATCAGCACTTTTGTGGGTTGCCGGTGTTGCAGGTGGCGGGCTTAGCTGCTATGTCACAACCCCAGTCCCTGGCCATCTTCTTGTCCTTTGGAGAGAATCTTGTCCCCTTTCTGAGCTCAGTCTCCCCATCTGTAGTAACAGGGCAGGTTCGCGACCTCCCAGGACGGCCGAGACTCTCAGGGGACCCTGAGTGCCCGTGCCTGTTTCTCCCCTCCACTTGACTCCTACGCTGCCTCCATCGGGAAGGGCGTGCACAGCCTTCCCACCGTCCGTGAAGATAAGGCAAAAAGGGAAGAGGCCGAGAAGAGGAAGAGCTGATAGACCACACGCACTGCGGCTGCCGGGCGCCCGGAAATGGGGGCTGCTCGGCGCTGCTGGCTCGCCCACGGCGCCTTCTGCGCTTCGGAGCCTCCCAGCAATGGGGGCAAGTGCAGTTCCACCCCAGGCCTTTACCTGAAGGCCTCACGGATCAGAGGGGGAGGCCTGGCCTCGGATGGGCGCAGCAGGCCATTGTAACCAGATCCTGGCAGGCGGCCTGGCTGGGGCACAGCTGGGTCAGTCTGACCTCAGCAGGTGCACAGAGCTGCCGTCACCGTGCTAAGGCTTTGCTGGCTGCGGCCAGGGCTGTGAGTCTGAATGGCAGCCGCAGGCCCTGCCCTGCACGACCCAGGGGCAGCTCAGCCCCACAGGGTTTGCTTTGCCAGGCCCAGGGTACGTGGTCCTGGTGTCCAGCACCTGGGCGCACAGCCCCACTCGGCAGCGTGGAGCAGGTCCCCGAAGCCGCCTGGGTACTGGTTTCCCCCACTTTGCCCTCGGAGTCGGATGGTTCAGGATTCTGTGCCTCGCGACGGTGTGGCTTGGAGAGGATTGCATTGGGAACGCCGGGCCTTGAGTGCTGAAATAAAACAAGAGGTTCCTGCACGCCAGGCGCTCCACCTGGTTCCGAATGGCGAGGAGCCCTGTGGGAGGGTGTGGTTCTGTGATGTCAGGTGGGTGTGTCTCCACGTCCCCCTGCCGCCCCCGGGGGGAGGACATCACAGTGGCAGGAGGGCACCCGACTGATAGGGAGAAGCTGTAGGAAGGAACATTTATGTATTTATTTGAAAGATGGAGTTACAGAGAGAGCGCAAGATCTTCCATCCGCTGGTTCACTCTCCAAACGGCTGCAATGGCCAGGGCTGGGCCAGACTGAAGCCAGGAGCCTCCTCCGAGACTCCCACATGGGTGCAGGGGCCCAAGCGCCCAGGCCATCCTCTGCTGCTTTCCCAGGTGCACCAGCGGGGAGCTGGGTCGGAAGTGGAGCAGCCGGGACTAGAACGGCACCCACATGAAATGCTGGTGCTACAGGCGGGGGCTTAACCTTTATGCCATAGGGTCAGCCCCCTGTTAGCCCCCTTTGTGACTCAGCGGGTCCTCCCAGGCCAGTCACAGGTCCCACTGGGCTCTGTCTGGCTTTCTCATTGGTCAGAGGGGTATAGCCTCCTGATGCACCTGCGGGGCTGGCTGGCTGGTTCCGGTTGTAAGATAAACAGTGGGACTGGTGCGGTGTAGAGTGTGGTTGCTGGTGCCGTGCGGTGTCAGTTCCCTGGTTGTGCCGCGTGCCACGGTGGTGGTGTCAGATGTTAAGGGCCGGGGAGGCTGGATGAGGTGCATCAGGGACCCTCTGTCCTGTGTGATGATCTCCAGCTACCTAAATTGGGAAAAACACGGCCGTGGACGGACCAGCTGTATGAAGGAGAGAACGCAGGGACCGGTCACAGCCACGGAGCACTGTGTCGGGACTTCACGGCCGATCGTAGCTTTATTCCTCCTGACACAGACGCCTTTTCAGTCTTTCATTGATTGCGGGGGGCGGGGAGGGGCTTGATGGGACTTAGTGCCCTAAATGCTGAAATGTGTGGAAAATATTAAACCCCGAACAGACAGGGGCGCTTTGCTTAGATGTGTTTCCCTGGGGGCCGTGACTTCTTCCAGTGAACAAACACTGGAAAGGTTTGGCGCTGCGTCCAGGAAAAAGAAAAGAAGAGAAGCTACAGATGAGAGCCGCCCCAGGCCGTGCAGGGGGGTGGCCCCTGTGCCCGCTGCCCCGCCCCGTGGTGGTGGTGGTGGTGGTGGTGGTGGGGTGTGTGCGCCTGCCGGCCTGCACGCGGGTGAGCTCTTCCCAGGATGCCTGCGTTTGCTCCTGGAGCAGAGCCAGGCAGTGCAGGTGGGGTAGCAGGTGGCAGGGCAGGGCTGGGAGGTGGGCGATGCGCTGGCCTCGCGGGGGGCTGGGGCGAGTGCCAGGAGCAGAGGAGGAACCCCGGTGGCTCCTGGAGTTGAATTGCCCCAGTGCAGGGCGATTATCGGCTCCCCCCTCCCTTTGTCCCCCCCCCCCCCCCCCCCCCCCGCAGGATGAAGATGAGACGCTACAAGCTCTTCCTCCTGTTCTGTATGGCCGGCCTGTGCCTCATCTCCTTCCTGCACTTCTTTAAGACCCTGTCCTACGTCACCTTCCCCCGGGAACTGGCCTCCCTCAGCCCCAACCTGGTGTCCTGCTTCTTCTGGAACAATGCGCCCGTCACGCCGCAGGCCAGCGCCGAGCCGGGCGGCCCCGACCTGCTGCGCACGCCGCTCTACTCACACTCGCCGCTGCTGCAGCCGCTGCCGCCCAGCGCGGCCGCCGAGGAGCTGCACCGCGCCGCCTTCGTGCTGCCCGAGGTCACCACCGAGTACTTCGTGCGCACCAAGGCCGGCGGCGTGTGCTTCAAGCCCGGCACCAGGACGCTCGAGAGGCCGGCGGCGGGGGCGGCGGCGGCGGCGGCGGCGGGGCGGCCCGCCGAGAGGGCCGAGGGCGGCGGCGCGGGCGGCGCGGGCGCAGGGGCGGCGGCTGCAGCCGGGGCGCGGGGCGCGGCGGCGGCGGCGGCTGCGGGGCGGCGGCCCCCGCGGCCCGTGCTGAGCGCGCGCGGCCCGCGCCGCAAGTGGGTGGAGTGCGTGTGCCTGCCGGGCTGGCACGGGCCCAGCTGCGGCGTGCCCACCGTGGTGCAGTACTCCAACCTGCCCACCAAGGAGCGGCTGGTGCCGCGCGACGTGCCGCGCCGCGTCATCAACGCCATCAACGTCAACCACGAGTTCGACCTGCTGGACGTGCGCTTCCACGAGCTGGGCGACGTGGTGGACGCCTTCGTGGTGTGCGAGTCCAACTTCACGGCCTACGGCGAGCCGCGGCCGCTCAAGTTCCGCGAGATGCTCACCAACGGCACCTTCGAGTACATCCGCCACAAGGTGCTCTACGTCTTCCTGGACCACTTCCCGCCCGGCGGCCGCCAGGACGGCTGGATCGCCGACGACTACCTGCGCACCTTCCTCACGCAGGACGGCGTGGCGCGCCTGCGCAACCTGCGGCCCGACGACGTGTTTATCATCGACGACGCGGACGAGATCCCCGCGCGCGACGGCGTGCTCTTCCTGAAGCTCTACGACGGCTGGACCGAGCCCTTCGCCTTCCACATGCGCAAGTCGCTCTACGGCTTCTTCTGGAAGCAGCCGGGCAGCCTGGAGGTGGTGTCGGGCTGCACGGTGGACATGCTGCGGGCCGTCTACGGGCTGGACGGCATCCGCCTGCGCCGCCGCCAGTACTACACCATGCCCAACTTCCGCGCCTACGAGAACCGCACCGGCCACATCCTGGTGCAGTGGGCGCTCGGCAGCCCGCTGCACTTCGCCGGCTGGCACTGCTCCTGGTGCTTCACGCCCGAGGGCATCTACTTCAAGCTCGTGTCCGCGCAGAACGGCGACTTCCCGCGCTGGGGCGACTACGAGGACAAGCGCGACCTCAACTACATCCGCGGCCTCATCCGCACGGGCGGCTGGTTCGACGGCTCGCAGCAGGAGTACCCGCCCGCCGACCCCAGCGAGCACATGTACGCGCCCAAGTACCTGCTGAACAACTACCAGCAGTTCCGCTACCTGCTCGACAACCCGTACCGGGAGCCCCGGGCCACGGCGGCGGCGGCGGCGGCGGCGGCGGCGGCGCGGGGCCGAGTGGACGCGGTGGGGGGCTAGGGCTGCGTGGGCTTGCGGCACCCGCCCCCGCGGCGGCGTGGCGTGGGGTGGGGTGGGGTGGGGTGGGGGCTGCCTCCTGCTACCGCCCTGCCCCCTCTCGCACCCCCCCCTCCCCAGCCTTGCCCTCCCCATGGGTCCCGAGAGGCCCAGGACGGAGACGGGGGCAGAGTGGGTGGGTGCGGGTGGCCCTGCCATCCTCAGGCCTTTGTCTGTCAGGAGTCAGGCCTTTCACGTAAAAAAAGAAAAAAAAAATCCCTCCTGTAGGAGAGGGAGCAGCCTAGCCGTCTATGCAGCCCTGCTCCAGCCCCAGCCCCGGCGCTGTGTGCGGGGTCGCGAGGGCCCCCTGCGGAGTGCATGGTGGTCCCCGGAGAAGGGAGCTTAAGGGTGGTTGTGTGTGGGGGGGCGGCCGCAGGCTGGCCAGGGAGACGCCCAGCGCTGGGCTCCCCAGGCTTTGCATCTGCAGTGGGCACTGGGCAGAGGGAGGGGGTACGTTCCAGGGGACCCCGGCTCTGCAAACGGACACACTGGGGTTCAGGAGCAAGAGGGGTGGCCTGGGGGCGGGCATGAGGCGCAGAGACCCCTGCGCGAGTCTGTGAGCCCCACCCGCTGTGCCCTGCGGGCGCCCACGTGGACACCAGGCCTGGGGACGCTCCCGTGGGGCTCCCTCCCGACTTCTGTCGTGGGCTGCCACTCGGGCCTTGCTGGGGCCAGGGGTCCTCAGGTTCTCAGGGAGGGTGGGAGCTTGGGGGTAGGGCGCACCTGGGCAGCAGAGGGACAGGAGACCCCGTGAGACCCCGGCAGGGCCTGCCTTTCCCACCCGCTGGCACCCACGGCCCCAGCTCTCTACTGTGGCCCTCTCTGGGGCTGTCCTGGGCCAAAGAAAGGACGTTGAGGCCAGTTGTATGTCACCTCATTCCTCTTGGTTTGCCTGGTGGGGGTGCGGGCGCGTTGGACGGAGCAGACTGTGAGGTGCTGTGGGTGGGACCCTGAGCTGTGGTGATTGAGAGCAACACGGAAGCGTGTTTCTAACTACACTGTCCAGCAGGAGGCGGGCCTGAGCTCAGCTTCCTTCATGCACACCTTCCAACTCTGGATACAGGGTGGCTGCTCCAGCTCCCACCATCACACGTGCATCCCTACACGCCTGGGGAGGAGCAGCAAGAGGCAAGAGAAGTGCATGCCCTTTCCTGGTGTGGGCATTAGCCAGAAATGGCGGTTACTTCTGCTGTCTCCCATTGGCCAGGACGCAGGCTCAGAGCCGCCGGGAGCTGCCCAGGAGACTGGAGGAGTGTCCTGTTAATGCCGGGTGGGGGTGGGGGCAGTGGTATCTCTGGCATAGGAGGGCTCGGGTGGGAATGACAGGACCAGCCGTAGGATCTGCTCTCATCGTTGGGGCGTCTGGAGCAAGCTGCTCCCCGGCCAGGGCTGGTCGGTGGGAAGGACGCCCCCCAGTCTGCCTGTGGGATGTCGTGTCTGTGCACGTGTGTTTGCATATGGGCATGGGTGCATGCTGGGTGTACTGTGTCCGTCTTCATCCCTGTAAATAGATGCTCGTGTGTGGGTGTGGATCCCCGCCCGGGCCTCCTCCTCCCCGGGCCTGGGGCCTGTGCTCACCCTCGTGACGGAGGCCGGGAGCCCGTGGGAGCCTAGAGGACCAGCGTAAGGGGAGCAGGTCCGTCCGTCCGTCTGTCTGTCCTTGAGTGAGGAATGAGAAGCCCCGGCCCTTGCAGGCTGTGCGCCCGAGGCTGTACGCCTCCCCCGCTCCTCGTGGCCTGGCCACATCCTCTCTGGTTCCTCTTGGGACTGAGGTGGCCATGAAGCCAGGGTGTCCCAAGGTCACCCGTGGACAGGCAGCCTGTCCTCGACAGCTTCCTCACCCCACCCCCGGCGCCCTCAGCTGCTGCGGGGGTGGGGGTCCTCTTCTCGGGCTGACAGGGTCCCCAGTGCCCAGTCTGCTGTCTCGGGGATGGGGGGGGGGGCACGGTGTGGGCGTGGCCCCAGGATTGACATGTTTCACGTGACCCTAGCATACAAGGACCCTAGGCCCCGCCCACCCCCGCCCACAATGAAGGAAAGCCACACTGAACGTGAGCGCCGGCACACGGGCCCCTTGCTATGTCCAGACTTTCTTCCGCAGGAACCACTAGCCCTATGACCATCGCTCCATCCCCGTCTGGAGTCCCACAGGTCCCCAGGGGTGGGGGGGTAGAGCTTCCGGGGCAAAGGTGAGAGCTGGGGCAGGGAGCCGGGGCCCCCAGGAGAGGACATCAATAGTACTAAGAGTATTATTTTTTTTTTGTAAGGGAAAATCAATATGTACATTCTGAAATCATTTTCTCTGTAAATGGTTGGATTTCATTTCACCCTTAAAGGGATGCTTAAAGGAGAAGATAATATTAATAATAAAAGCAGCTACAAAGTCTGCGGGGTGTGGCTGGTTTGTGGGTACCCCCAGGGCAGGGAGAGGAAGGCACCGGGCTGGCAGCACTCCCCTCCCGAGGTCACAGGGGATCTGGTCCCACTGCAGAGATTCTCCCACCCAGACACCCTCCCTGCCTCTGCCGGGAGTCCTGGTGCCTCGGCCAAGGCCACACAGAGCTGGGGGCAGAGCAGGAGGACGGCTTCTCTCCAGGAGCAGACGCTTCTTTCCCCTGGAGTTGACCTTGGACTTATGCTGTGATCGCATCTGGGTTGGGCAGACAGAGATACTGTCTAGGGGTGTCCTAGGGAGGGTCACACCAGGGTGGGCCCCCCAGTGGGGTGGCTGTGCAACCCCCGTGTTACACAGAGAGGCTGAGGCCGAGACAGGAGCAGGTGATGGCCTCTCAGGCACACTCACACAGGACCAAGCCTGGGTGCACCTGCTGCCATAGGGGGTTGAAGTCCCTGGGATCGAGTGGAGAAGATGCAGACACCTGTTCTGGCCAGAGGGGGGCGCTGGTGTTCTGACCCTGAAAGGCCAGCATCCCTGGAGTTGGCCAGAAGCCACTTCCCGAGGTCACGAGCACCCGTGGATCTCTGGGTAAAGCTCAAGGGATGAAAAGAACCTGCCAGGGCCCCTGGCATCCTTGGCCCCCACCTGCTGTTCCAGTGAATTCCTAGAGACTGCATTATACCAGGAAGCCAATTCCTCCAGGTCCAAAGTGTTTTACAAAAGTTGCCAATTGTCTATGGCTCCAAAACAAAGTGCCCGGAAGTAGCCAATCCAAATGGCAGTTTATCTGCCCACAGCTCTGCCTCTTGGCCTGGGGCTCTGCTGAGCAGTCTGCCCAGCAGCAGGTGGACAGCTGCTACAGAGACACGCACTTGCGTGGGCCCCACCTGATTACCAGCTAGATGACACCAGAAGGGACGCCACCAGCCGAACAAGGCAGCGATCACCGCCGGTTAGGGGGGTGACAGGCCCCCCGACCTCGCCGACCTCGCAGCACCACCTAGAGGAGGCTGGGGGAGGACCCCACCCGCCCTCGTAGGGCTGCTGCCCCGGATGCATCGCCTCCGAGCCTCACGCAATCCCACATTGACAGGAAACCTGCAAAAAGCCGGCTTCACTCCTCTGGACCTCGCGTTTCCCGGCGCCCTCCTGTGGCATTTGCAGAAAAAGCCCCGCTCAGCCACAGGGCTTGGAGCACGTAGAGACGCCTGGGCCGCCAGAGCTTCGAGGGACGGAACCCCCAGCAGCAACACCATGCCTGCAGCTGTGCCTCTGCGGTGTGACCGATGTGTGTGTTCCCAGCCAAGACCAAAGGGACCGCCAGGCGCAGCCCGGACGTCCACCCAGGCTCAGGATGACCCTCGCTTTTAACCGCTGAGCTATAGGCTAGTTTGTTTCACAACATAATCGTGGCCTTTGATGATGGACACAGTTTGCATCTAGTGACAGAAAAGTCCACACAAACCAGAGAGGTGGGGAAGGAACGCCCTGGCTTGCTGACAGGAAAGGTCGGGTGACGACTGGCGCCTTGTCACCCAGCTCTCTGAGCTCAGTTTCTCTTCCCAGCTTGTGTTGTCCCTACTCTCAGATGGGTTTACACCTCGTGCCTGCAGGGTGGCTGCCACAGCTCCAGGCTTCACACCACCTTTTTAGCTTTGTTCTTAGCACAGAACAAAAAGAGCTCCTCTCCCTGAGCCCCAGGGTCTGGATCACCCCGACTTGAAGGTGTTCGTGTGAGCTTCCTTGAAGGGCTCAGTGGGACTGGGGCAGGGGAGTCCGGATGGGGTCTGACATGCTTAAAGCAATCAGAGCTCCGTCTACACTGGCTGAGAAGGAGGGAGGTGGTTCCCCCTCTCCCACAGTTTGGCTCACCCTCAGCTGTCTCGGCAGGCACCTGCTCAGCCACCAGTCCGGCCTTTGGTCGGCTCCCTCTATGGGTTGCTCCCCTGCACATGGGCCACACCTACAAGGGCAACTGTGAAGATGCTCACAGCCCGGCACAGAGGCCGGTGCAGGGTGAGATCTCATGGCAGGTGAGTGACAGGCGTCATGATCCCATCCTCACTGCCGTCCACTTCCGAGTGACCCCCCTGTCTCACGGCTCCCCTACCCACCTCCTTTCTCTGAGTGCCCTTGTAAGAAGGGGGCTCCCCAGGGCCTGGTCCCTGGCCTGGTACTCTGCCTACACTTCACAACACTGGCCAAGGTGCTGTTGGCACAATCTCTCCAGGGAGTCCTCTAAGGGAGCACCTAGCCATGGGTCCGGCTGCCTGCGGGAAAAGCCCCAAGATGTCAAGGTCACATCGGACTGAGTGGAGCTCAGCTTCTCCTCCCTCCATGCCGCTCGTGCACCCACTCGCAGCAGCTGGGGAAATCCCAGGGAGTCACCCTGGCTTGCTCGCCCATAGCAGCCGCCATTCCCTGCCTGCCTCCTGGGTGCTGGGGACTGTTAACGACACGGGAACCTGGGCTTCAAGCCCCGGAGTCCACGTGCTGGTCATGTGACCTTGCGTGGGTTCCGTGGACCCAAGTCTTCACTTGAGTGTCTGAGTGGGGAGTGATGGAGTACTGCTGCTGCGGGTGTTGAATGATGCGTGGGAAGCAGATGCGAAGGCACATGGGGCTTCGTGGACACTTGTAGCAGCTCTTACTCCAATCATTTTGATTTTAACTGAGAACAAGTTTTGCAGTTAATTCTCATACTACAACTC